AATTCCACATCTGGGAATTGATTGCAAGAAAATTGTAAGTTGCCCTGCCCCATTCCAAAAAACAAACATATAAACCCAAAGATGTTCACAGAGTTGTTTCAAATAATGAAAAATTAGAAACAACCTAAATGACTAGTCAAGGGAGTAATTAAAATTTTCACATACCCTGTAGATAGAATACAGTGCAATAATTAAAATATGGTAATAGAGATTATAATTGAAAAATGTAATTGTGATAAAGGTAATTTTTTTAAAAACGAGCTTTCAAATTGTACATACAATTTGATATAAAAACGACTGGAAGGAAATATGTAAAAATGATACGCAGTTATGATGAGGGGATAGTAGGTAATTTTTTTTGTATTTTCTGTGATCCAAAATAATGCTAGGCTGCATTAATAGAAGTATAGCACGTAGGTCAGGGGAGCTAATAGACCTATGTTATGAGAGGAGCATGGGCTTTGGAGATGTGTGGCTCTGAGGTCCAATGATGGTTCTGCTTACCTAGCATGAGGCCTTGACAGTTACATAAATACTTGAACCTCAATTTCTAAATCTGAAAAAGGAGAGGATACCTTTTCTTCATGATTGTTGTGTGGATTAACAATATTAGATGGTAGTTGTTGATAAAAATACTGTTCTAGTCCCATCATGTCCAGAATTATGTATTAGTCAACTTACAAGCAACCAAATCTCAGTGGCACACAACTGAGATTTATTTCTCATTTATGTTATGGCTATGGGTCTGCTCTGTTCTCTTTGCTCTAGAATCAAAGCAGACTGGAAAGAAAGATGGTTACACCAAAAGATAGCTCTTGTAAAGGTCTGCTTGGAAGTAGTACACTTCTACTCATTTTTCATTGGCTAAAGCTCGTGTCTGTGGCACCGGAGGTATACTCCTCCCATGGGGACACAGAGGCCAATACAGAGGGTCTCAAATATTTCGAACAAATAATATATGCTATGACAGTGTGTTCAGTTCTGTCTGTCACTTGAAGGGTATGACAACTTGGGGTGTATCCATAGGAGAAAAATCAGGATGGTGAGTAATTCTGAAATCTCGCCTGATATACAGTGGGTAGAGTCAATGGAGAGAGAGGAACACATTAATATTGTCTAAAATATTTGAAGAATGGCTGTCACTGGATATGCTGAATGACATCAATGGGTAGAAGTTATAGCATTATGTATTTTGATTCAGCGTAAGGGCATAGGAGGAAAGGGGACAGGAAAGGAGCTGGTTGGTGGTTTTAAATACCTTACCGCACCTACATTCTTCAAAATAACTCTATTAGGGTTTGTGTGTATGTGTGTGTTTATGTTTATATATTGAAGGAAACAGACTCAGAAGATCAGTACCTGAGGTCATATGGCAAATATGTGGCAAAACCAGTTGGAATCTAGGTCTACATGATCTCATCTCTTTCCACTAAACTTTGCTGCTCTCTATAGGGCTGCAAGCTTTTTTACAATTAAACTGTTCATTACCAGCCATCTTCTGCCTGACAAAGTAATGGCCACTCTTCCTCATCTCTAAAGTATGAATGTAGGAATTGAAAGGAAGGTTGAACTCTAGATTAGTGGTCTAGAAACTTACTTGATCACATGCACCTCTCGGCAAAATAATTTAGCATATACTATATCTATATCTATATATAGATATATCTTATATATTAACATATTGTATGTTATAAAACAAAAAAGTTAAGATTTTATATAAATTTTAGATACTTGTATAAGTTAGATTTCAGATTTTGTGTAAAAATCTCCACTTTTTAAAACTCCATTTTTACAGGTAGATATTTTTTCTGGTATCCCTATGGATTGTCTTGTGTACCCACAGAGATGCATACCCCCAACATTGGAGGTGATTATTTTAGGTGATTTCTAAGACTTAATTTTTTAGTATGAATATTCTATGATTATATATGGCCTGAATTTTTCTGAAGAGGATGATGGTAGCTTAATTCACTTTTAGGAAAGTTTTTAAATAGTCTGTTATCCAGACTATCTAAAAACGTTAACATTCATAGTGGAAATTAAGCCTAAAAACCACATAGTATAACAAGGTGCTTTTTCAGATAAATAGTAATAACTCTATGAGCATTATAACCTATATATAAAAGAGGTTAAATAGTGGTTATTATAAAGTAATACGCCAGATTCTGTGTGGCACAAGAAACAGCCTTGCTATTTTAGTCATATATTCTCTGTCTAAATCTGTGTGTGTATGTGTCCAAAAGTTACTGTATTCATATATTCTAAAATGAATCTGAAATTTTGCCTAGAGAATAACATGATTTTTTCTACTTGGAAGTTACTTTAGCACTGTTTTAGAATGGAGCCAGAAATCTAAATTAGGCTAAGCCTACTGGACTAAGTGTAATCTTTATGGAGAGATGCTCCCTAAGAAGCAGAGGAGTTACTTGCATTGCCTGACAGAGGAAACGGTCTGCTTTTCTACATTCTGGTCCTTGGTTATTGGCCATTTGCCAGGTTGATACTTCATAATTAAGATAACTTTCTGGTTAGTAACTATTTCTTGGGGATAGATTCTTTAAGAAAAATCCTTCCTATATCACAGAAAGCAGAAGCGCAAATCTAGCCTTTAAAAGATATTCTTATATTGAGATGAAAGAGTAGCAGTGCTCTTTTCCATTTTTTTTTTCTCATAGTGATACATTTGCACAGATTTTTCAGCATGACGTACTGCAGTTTGGTGGTAATTGTAGAAGTGTTACTTGCAAGTAGGATCAAACCCAGCTTAAGTAAGAGAAGGCCAAGTTCAGCTATTTTTTCTGCACCGGTTTAAGCAGCCCACAGGCTAGGAGTTCTTTGGTATTAACTTCTAGGGATCGTTTTGTTCTAGAAAACTACCCTGGAAAAGTACAGTTTAAATAGTTTAATCTGGTATTTCTTAGTTTTCATATTCTTTTGCTCATTCAACAGCCATTCAGTGCTTCTTTGTCCCAAGCACTGAGGAAACATTAGTGAACAAGAGGGATATTTAGTTTTATTTTTTTATTTTTCAATTACAGTTGACATTCAGTATTATTTTTTGTTAGTTTCAGGTGTACAGCATAGTGGTTAGACATTTATATAAGTTACGAAGTGATCCCCCCATAAGTCTAGACTCACCTGGCACTATACATAGTTATTACCATATCATTTACTATATTCCCTATGCTGTACTTTATATCCCGGTGACTGTTCTGTAACTGCCAATTTGTACTTCTTGATCCTTTTACCTTTTTCACCCAGCCCCCCAGCCCCCCTTTCATCTGGCAACCATCAGTTTGTTCTCTGTATCTATAAGTCTGTTTCTGTTTTATATGTTCTTTAGATTTCACATGTAAGTGAAATCATATGGTATTTGCCTTTCTCTGTCTGACTTATTTCATTTAGCATAACATCCTCTAGGTCCATCCATGTTGTCGCAAATGGTAAGATTACATTCTTTTTTTATAGTCAAGTAATATTCTATTGTGTGTGTGTATGTGTGTGTGTGTATACACACCACATCTTCTTTATTCATTCGTCTGTTGATGGAAACTTAGGTTGCTTCCATATTTTGGGCTATTGGGAATAATGCTGCAGTGAACATAGGAATGCATATATCTTTTTTAATTAGTGTTTTGGATTTCTTCAGATAAATACCTAGAAGTGGAATTGCTGGGAACAAGAGGGATACTGACCAGGATTTTTTTCATGTATATAACGTGTATTAAAAGCCAGTAGAACTGTTATAGCTCACAGCAGCATACTGTAGGAATCCCTGCACTGCACTAACCTCTGCATGCCTGTCTGCTCTCTTGCTCTTTTCTTTCCCCACCTCCTTTCCCTTTCTCCCTTTCTCCCCTCCCTCCCTCCCTCCCTCCTTCTTGTAACTCCATCTTTGAGAGAGTGTCCACAGGCAAATTCTGAAGCCAAGTCATCTAAATGTAGGAGAAACTATATATGGTACTTATTGGATAAAACTTGCATGGTGTGGTTAGGTGATGATAAAATTCTTTTTTTAAAAGATTTTATTGGGGAATTTGGGGAGGGGAACAGCGTTGGGGAATCGAGGAAGGGGAACAGTGTTGGGGAATCGAGGAAGGGGAACAGACAGGTAGACAAATTGCTGTTTTGTTCTTCAGTCTAGTTGTGGAGGACATCGCTTCACTGGTCCAAGTTGGTATAATCATTGTGCTCTTCCCAGGTGAGGCAGTCGGTCGCTGGTCATTGGTCAGCTGCTCCCAGCGGCTCCCAGCAGCTCACAATGGCTGCTGGCCGCTCACGCTGGCTGCCAGCCACTCATGTAGCTCATGGCAGCCCACTGCAGCCCCACTGCAGCTTACGCCGTCGCTGACGACTCACAGCAGCCCAGCTCCAGGTGGAGCTGTTGTTCATCATCTTAGCTGTAGAGGGTACAGCGTCACTGGCCCTTAATGTGGGATCCAAACCGCGGCTCTGCTGCTCAGAGCTGGTGCTCCCAAGCGAGCTCTTAACCAACTGAGCCACTCAGCCGGCCTGATAAAATTCTTAATTTGCCTTAAATACTAAATGTCATCTCACCTGTGCAGATCTCAAGCTGTGTGTATTTGTTACATAGCTCAGAAACCATGTACTGTATTTTTAAATGTGTTTGTTTTATTTTAAGTAAAATTAATAGCATATTTTTTACAAGCATGCTTTTTAGATGCAAACATTTATATGATTAGGTAATTTTTTATTAGTGTTTCTTTGAATATGTTTTTTTCCAAATCTAAATCCTGATATATATATCTTCTGGAATTAGCCATTTTTGTGCCTATTTCTGTTATATCGCAACTGGCATATTTCTTATTTTTCAGTGCTTTAATTGCCGTGTTATCTAAACTCTAGAATACATCCCAGTTAATTAAAGACATGTGATAATTCCCCAAGATGTGATTGTTTGGTTGATTATCTATTTATGTTGTGTTCTCTGTTGATGAATTTGAAGGTAATTAAAAGTAAAAATCTTTTTTTCCCTTTAGCATCAGACAACAGCCAGCGCTTTCGAGAAACCTGTTTTGCATTTGCATTGACACCACAACAAGTACAGCAAATCAGTAGTTCAATGTAAGTTGTCTTTAAGTGTACCTTGTAGTTTGGCCTTTAAAACCAGTATTGTCTATAATAAGTGATTTTTTTAAAAAACAGTGTATTAGGTATTAGTGTCATGTAAATATTAGTATTAAAAATACTATTATAGTGTTAGTTACCTTAAAAACAATTATATCTGATAATTTGAAAACCTTTCTGTAGTAACAACAGTATCTTTTTTTTCCCAAAGATTTTATTGGGGAATTGGGGGAGGGGAACAGCGTTGGGGAGTCGGGGAAGGGGAACAGACAAGTTGCTGTCCTTTTGTTCTTCAGT